TGGGATACCAAAGCCTGGGCGTGGACGTGCTTTCATTTAATGGTTTACACAAGTGAATAAAGTTAAACAAAAAAAAATAAAAATATATATGTATAGAAGTATTCTTAAATGAATCTTATTAAAATGCTTAAGGGCACTTTCAACAATCATAGTTGTCGAATGAGCCAAACAGGCGCACCTTCAACTGCAGAAAATGCAAAAATTTAAGACTTCGCGGATTGAAATTATGAAAAAAGTGTAAAAAATGTTAACAGCTGGATGCGGAAAAACATGAAATTGACCGGGTTGGCTACTCGGAAATGGCAGAAGGTTCATAGTGAAGTCAGTTTCTTGTCATGATACTAGAAAAATTAAAATAAAATAACACAGTGCAACAAATTTCAAAAAGTTGTAGGTGATGGGAATCGTACCAACAGCGTTTGACTAAGCTGTGCAAATAATGAAAAAGTACCAACGGATTTGAATAAGTTGGTTACCATTTCTTTTTTATCTCAAATTATAATTCCTTGTTTTCAGGTGTAATTTTTTGAAATAAAAACACATTTTCCAAAGTGAACGTCTGAAATTTGTTAGCAAAACCAAAAAAAAAAAACATTGTAGGTACTTGTTAATTTTGAACCCTAAATTCTCGACTTTACATCGATGTAAAAAGTAAATGGATAACAACTTTTACAAGTGCTTTGAATTTATTAAATTGCTTTGAATTTGTTTTTGTTATTTTATGGCCTTATAAACATTACATTCAGCAATTTTTATTGAGCCTGAGGCCGTTTTTAATGCTTTGGATTTATTCATATTTTGACCTCTCTTAATGAATGCAATTAGATTCATTCCCATCACTTTTTGAGTGTTGCACTGCGTAATAATTTTGGCCCAGTATTACAACGAAAAGCGACTGACCTCATCAAAATTAAAAAAAAAAAACAAAAGTGGTGCTCATGACTTCTCAAGGTAGACTAAAAATGGCTTTAAACACCTGTGTTCAGAGGATTTCAAAAAAGGACATTAATAAATGCACACCGTTAAGAATCACTACTGAAATTTTCTACGCCTCACATGCCTTGCAAAGAAAAGTGGAAAGTGGCGTTTTCTTTTTTTTTATAAAAAATGCCTTGTTTTTATTTCACTCCATCGTGGTATAGAAAGTATCACGTTGTGAAGCGCGATACAGCTGCGATCCAATTTGAAATTTAAAAAATTAAAAAAAAAATATATGCAAGACCAAAATATTTTATTTGAATCCCATTGTAGAAATTTTTCTTAAGTCAGAAATTTGTTACTTTCTGTCACCTCATATTTCAAACAAGAAAGCATTGAATCGTTTAAATAAAATATGCGAAATTCAAGTACCCAGAATTTCCAATAGACCCAAAAAACCTCGACTTGACCAGCAAACCGGTTTTGCATAGAATGAGGAAAATATACGTACGTATATTTAATTACACTGTAGCGACGCTGAAAAAACGAAAAAAAAACGCCGAGTCACGTAAACTTAACTTTGGGTCGTAGATTATGGATCTGTATACCGATTTCCAGATCAGGTTATTTTCCGACGATATTTTCATTTTAAGTTTGCGTTGCGAATGAACAAAAATGTAGATTTTAATATGAAAAATTTTACTCATACGCCTTGCACGATTATACTCGATAACGGTCATGTACGACATGGCGTATGAGTGACATTATTTCCTGCTCCAATTTGAAAAAAAATATTCTTGCTCGTTTTAATTTGACAATTTGACCCATCGATTTTCGTCGTTAACCTTTATGTGCTCGGTAGTCTACATTTGTAGCATTTTGTTGAAGATTTGTAATAAATAAAATAATTACACTACAACCGTGTCCGAGTTTTACAGTCGCTTCCTGCTTAAAAATAATTATAGAGAAAAGGATATAGATAGAGACACAGAGACTCAATCGGGGATTTTAGTGATTTTCGGGATTCTTAAGACTTATCGTTACAAAAATCGATATTTTTTTCGGTTATGTTATCGATTTTGTTATCGAAATTTCCATCGATTTTGCTATCGATATTTTCGGAACCTATCGAATTAACAATCGATATTCTTATCGATTTTGTTCTCGATTTTGTAATCTATATTTTTATCGATATTGTTATCGATTTTCTAATCGACTTTTATCGATTTTGGTATCAATTATTTATCGTTTTTGTTATCGATTTTACTGTCGATATTTTTATCGATTTTATTATCGATATTTTGTTGGATGTTTCTATCGATTTCGTTATCGATAGAGTATAAAGATAAAAATGAAGATAAAGGAAAACAGAATAACATAAACGTAATTAGAAAAACCAGAGGTAGGGATCTAGATCGTAAAAATACAAAAAATATAAGCAGAAGCAAAAGCAGATATATGTATGTATGTAGATATGTACATATATACATACATTGGTTATGAGACAAAACAGATATGCACCGTAAGTTCCACTTCTCCAGTGTGGCCTAGGCACACTTACTTTTTTTAAAAGGGTTCAAAAATTATTTAAAAAAAGTCAGAGCGATGTATAATAATAAAATGAATGTCAAATAAAAGGGAGAGCTCTGTAAAATTGAAAGAAAATTAAACGTTTTGGTGCACAAGAACGAAAAATTGAAAATCGAAATTGTCTTTTTAACTTTAGTTAAGGATAAAAAAATAATTTAAAAGGATATATTTAATACCTTTCCGCTTTTGTGCACCAACAAATTTAATGTTTTTAAATTCTAAAAAGTTTTCTCTTTGCTGGATATTCATATTGCATTGCACTGATTTTTTAAATAATTTTTTTAATTTTTCATATCCTTGAGGATTCAAAGTCCTTTAAAAAAGATACTGAGGTCGGAGAGAAGAACTTAAAAAAACAGTTTTACTATATTCGGCTCCTAGTTTCCTAGGTGTATGGATACTTGATGTTCGATTTTTTTTGGGTTCTTGTGGCACGTTGTAAATAATATGTTTGGAAGTCACATCACTTTTTTACTCAACACAAAGTTTTTTGATTTTTGCGTGTTGGAACATGTTTTTTTGTAATAATGTATTTCCGTATGTGACTTAGGCAGGTGTCGCGCAAACGAATTTTGTGTTTGCCAAACAAGATACGAGTTTAACACGCTTATAAGTGTGCACGATGTATAAAAGCTAGTTTCTTTTCACCTTCATTTTGTGTTTAACAAAATTTTGTTTTTAAATAAACATGTATGTAAAAATGTGCACACCAGTATAACAGTTAGCGCAACCGTGGTTGTCACATATGTTGTTCATATGATTCTCCCTAAAAATGAACGCTTGCGATAAGTTGATGAAATTTTACTATCCCTGGCCTCATATTAGACCCTTGTGGTCAGTGAGTTTGGTCTCTGGAAGACCAGTCCATCTACTCAAACCTACACCCAAGGCGAATTTATACAAGGTGGTGTTGATGGCGAATTTAGATTTTCGCCGCGGTACTTCCTAATGTCAAAAGGATGTGTTTGCTGTAATATGAATTCGCCTTGTTTACAACAAACACATCATTTTGACATTAATAAGTACCGCGGCGAAAATTTAAATTCGCCATCAACACCACCTAGTATAAATTCGCCTTGCCTACACCAGATTTCCCTTACATCCTAGAAAATACATACATATGTACATAGAATATGTTTTATGAAAAGCATTAAATGCAGTTGGAGTTCTGAATTTGATGATTCCTCCGATTCGGAGCCCGATGGCCGAATGATTATCAAGCTTCAAAGTGGCCATATGTATGATTGTTTTGTGGTTTCCTGGGTGTGTACTTTTTCTTCGTGGCAATGTCAACAATATTCGCTATGTTATAGACATCAAAAATTACCTTAAGAGGAACATTAGGGGTATTCACGATCCGGTGCATAGTGCCTAGCATGGTGCATAGACAGCACGACTGGCTAATTTTGTTGTTGTTTGAACACATGAAACAACAACAATCATGCTATTTATTCTATCTATGCATCATGCTAGACCGTATGCACCGGATCGTGAATACCCCTAATGTATCTACGATTTACATAGGCAGTCGAATTATTGGCGTTCCGTGGTTGCAACTTTATGTAAAAAATAAAATGAATTTAATATGCTAATTCAATTTAGGGCCGATTGCTCAAAGCCTGGTTGACGCTAATATCCGGTGGTTAAACATCGTGATCGACGTTACAGGCACCGTGTTATATGTATGGTGTCGAAGACGTCGATAACGATGTTAACCGGAGATTAGTGCCAACCAGGCTTTGAGTAATCGGCCTTTAGGGCTGTTTTCTGGACTGCCTCTTAAATTTATCTCTATGTTAAACATCGTTATCGACGTTACCGACTGCCTGTTATATGAATGTGAGCGACAGGTTTGACCCTGGCAGTCAGAGCATCCTTTAACTTTAACAGGCAGTCTACATAGAAGACGACGCATAGCGTGTTTTATTTCAAAAACTCAAATTGGATAATTCTTTATATTTATGTACATATAAATATGTACCATACAAACGCATTTTTTTTAAACCTTCTTAACACTTTTGGTTTTAAATGAATTTTTGCTATAAATTTCAGTTGGTTTCTCCATTGGAATCTATCAACTCCATTCAAAATCCCACAATCGCGTTGATGGCATTTCACACTGGACCAGTTGGGCACAACTATTCACTCTCTTCATACTCGGCTTTGTGGCCTGGGTAACCGCCTGGACGCATATGGATGAACAATGTCAACTGTGTGCACTTGTCTTCAAAATTGATAAACAACTGCGGGAATTTGCCGAAATCGAATTCGACTACAAGCTATTACGCAAACGACTATTCTACCAATTGGGCTTAGAGCTGCTAATTGCATTTCCATTATCGATGGTCAATTGCATGATCATACAACCGACAACGACTTTCTTTCTACCCAT